CCTTTTCTCTCCCACCAGGGAGCATGTGTCCTGCACATGCTGCGACACTTCCTGACAGATGATGTGTTCCAGCGGGGGATCGTGCGATACCTCCGCAAATACAGCTACAAAAATGCACTCAACCAGGACCTGTGGGACAGCCTAGCCAATGTACAAACACAATTTACATACATGTGTGTGAAATTCACTGTGAAGTCTTTTGACTTCTTGTAAAGCAATTAACTAATCTTTTTAGTATTTGTTTTATTCCATATATTAGATATCTGGTATATTTATTAACTAACTTAACATTTCATAATGGATGCTGTAGTGTTTTTAAATGTAGATGTTTCTATAGCTTTCAGACAGCAGTGACTGTTTGCCATTCCATTCATTATGGTGCATACATCAACTGCTGATACTTGAAAGTTTCTCAAAGTAGGGTATCAATCAAAATGAAAAGTATGTCTGTTTTTAAGAGTATTATTTTCTCTTTTACAAGTTATGTAAATCCTTTTAAAAGAATACACCACTGAGACATGGTGTACATTGTGATAGATTACAAATCTCACACAAATTAAGTATCAAAGTTAGTTGTATTGAATTATATCGATCACAAATGTAATTGAACAGCTGCCTAAAATAAATGTTCATGTATTATGGTAAGGTGCAATGCAGGGTATTTATTGGTTGTTTTCCAGACATGCTCCGAGGAGGACTTCATCTCAGGAAAACACTGTTACAGCAGCAGCCAGGCCTCCAAGAATGCAGTGAGTAAACATAATAAACCTTACTGACCTCTTTTCATGGGTTTTCCTCAAGCTCCTTTTAAAAGATTTCGATCTGACCTTGTGCCATGGTGCGGTCGCACGTGTTGTCTCCTTCAGTACCTGTTTGCAGGGGAACACCTGGACCTGACAGCCATGATGAACACTTGGATTCTGCAGAAAGGTGTTCCTCTGGTAACCGTTACTAGGAAGGGGCCCCATCTGCTGCTCAGACAGGACAGGTTCCTGAGGACAGTGCTGCCTTCTGATCCTCTCTGGTCCTCTTTGCAAAAGGGGTGAGCATGCACATGCACTTTCACAGTTTCTAAAACTATTATAATTTGGTATTACCCAGTAAAACCTTTAACTTTAAGTTGACCTGATGATACAATAAAACTCTATTTTCCTGTAGTTTCCTTTGGCATATCCCTTTGACATACAAGACGGATGCTTCAAACACCATCCACAGACACCTGATGACCACACAAACAGGTAAAGAGCGAATGTGTTAAATATAAATCATGTATAATATCACTTTTGCTTTGACATTATAGTGTTTTTTATTCTATTATTCTGTTTATTTCTCATTTAGACAGTATACACATTGGAGAGGAAGTCAGCTGGGTGAAAGTCAACACTGACATGACAGGCTATTATGTGGTTCATTACGAGGATGGTGGCTGGGACAAGATGACAAAACTACTGAGACAAAACCACACCGCTCTGAGCTACAAAGACAGGACTCAATTAATACACAACGCTTTTCAATTGGTCACGTAAGCATCTATGTGTTCTTGAGGGTTTGTGTTAGACCAACACAGACAGTCTTTTAAAAAAACCAATCCCTCCTGAAATCTAACATTTTGAAATATTCCTGCATGTCTCCAAAGGGCAGGTCACCTGTCGCTCGATAAAGGCTTAGACCTGATTGGTTACCTGCAATTGGAGACACACAACGTGCCTCTCCTCCAAGGACTGGGCTCTCTGCAGGCCTTTTACCATATGATTGAGAAACGGAATGAGATTGATGTAACACGCAAGCTGCGGGTAAGAAGACTACACAATGAGGATGATATATGTGCAAATGTTGGCATTAAAAGCAGTTTATTTTCATGGTTAATGCTTTCTTTTGACGTGTGCAGATGCACATCCTGCGATTTTTCCGTGCTGTCATTGACCAGCAGACGTGGAGCGACGGGGGCTCTGTGTCCGAGCGGCGGCTGCGGTCAGAGCTCCTGTCACTGGCCTGCCACCTGGACGACCCTCCCTGTCTGGAGCGGGCCCGTCAGAGCTTCAAACACTGGCTGCAGTCCAAGGGTACACTCAAGTATGTCTGCCTAAATTATGTTTTTTACACTCATCATTATAAGTCACCAAACTCTGATATCATTCAAATAAACAACAGCTATGGCCTGTGTGCGGCTGAGCTATTTAATGTTGTATTTCATCATGTCTCTAATGTGCACGTCTCTGCTTGTGTTTACCATAGCCTGCCGACCGATGTGGCAGAGGCAGTGTTTTCAGTCGGAGCTCAGGAGGACCGTGGCTGGGCTTCACTCTTACACACATACAACATCTCTTCGTCTGCAGCACAAAAAAGCAAAATCCTGTTTGCCTTAACCTGCAGCAGAGACACAAACAAACTACACAGGTACATCTTCTCTCTTTTTCATTTTTACACAGTGTATGCTGTCACCATGTGGCAAACATAGGGTATTACATCCCAGTGCTGCAGCCAACAGAAATCTAATATTTATTCTGTGTCCTTGTCAGAGTTAGATGATAGATAATGTGACGCTAATAGAGCATGTTGTAAAGCACTTATACATGTACCACTGTATACCAAGGCAGGTTTGCTTTTATGTGCGCAGCTCCACTTGCTTGGAACAATCTTCAGCTAGAATTGAAACTGAACAATTTCATTCCTCTGCATGTTTTTAAAGCTAGGCTAAATGAAATGCTCGTTGATACTATGGGCACTTGTAAATGTATCCTGTAAATATAATGTGTGATGTCCTTTATTGTTTTATGTTTCACATGGAACCTATTTGCTGCAGGTCTCCCTTGAAAAAGAGTTCTATGATCTCAATGGGACCAATCTCGTTAAATAAAGGTTTGAAATTAAATGAAAACATGTTATATTCTGTGTGTGTGTCTGTTTTTCAGATTGCTGGAGTTGGGTCTTGAAGGGAAGGTGATTCGATCCCAGGATCTTTCCTCCCTCATTTTCATGGTGGCCAGAAACCCACAGGGACATCGCCTCGCCTGGAACTTTGTCAAAAAGAACTGGGACACATTGGTTCAGAGGTTAGTGCAACACAAGACATTGTGACAATACAGATAAGATAAAAACCTTACAAATAAATGAAAATGCATTTTTCTTACTTCTACTTCTACTACTACTACTACTACTACTACTACTACTACTACTACTACTACTACTACTACTACTACTACTACTACTACTACTACTACTACTACTACTACTACTACTACTACTACTACTACTACTACTACTACTACTACTACTTATTTTAAACATCTTTCCCAGTTAATATATTCACCCTCTAATAAGTGCTTTTTACTTATCAAGTTGCTGTGAGTTGAATGCAAATCCTTTTTGTGAACCAGTAAGCCCAACCTTTCAAGCAGCTAAAATGCTGTTTAACAAGTCTAACAGGTTCTGATTTACAATAACAAAGACCTCATTATATCACAAGCAACACATTGGTTGGATGATTCACAATAAGTGTGTAACCGCTAATAAAGGAAGATATATTAATCTGTGTCTCTGTTGTCTTTCTGCACTCCAGGTTCCAGTTGGGTTCATTTTGTATTAGTAGCATCATCATTGGCACCACAGGCCATTTCTCATCTCCAGAGGAACTCGCTGAAGTAAATGCACTCTTATGTTTTGAACTAATCTAAAGTCTACAAGCCAATTTAGAGATTACCAATATTTCAATGTTTAATGGCTGGCATTGACAATATCTGTACTAATAGTGATGATAATTAGACATGGAAATCTCTGAGAAACCTTTAGTTGTATGCTTGTTTTTGTAAATTCATCTGTGTTTGATCCTGCAGGTGCAGTTGTTCTTTGAGTCCATCAAAGAGCAGGCGTCACAGCTGAGAGCTACTCAGGTTGCTCTGGACAACGTGCAGAAAAATGTTCGCTGGTTTCAGAGGAACCTAGAGACTCTGCGAAACTGGTTGAACCAGCAAATGTAGTGAAAGACAGCGGAACGGGAGCTGGTGGTTCACAGATATCACAGATGGGATATCTAAAGTTTTTTTTGAATGTTTATGGGTTTTATTTGATAATTGTAATGCGATACATTTCACTGAAGATTTGACATTTTTGTATATAAATGAGTGGCTTTGTAAATTTTCCCGGGACTTATTTGTTTGAACGAACACATTTAATTAGTAGAACTGGCAGCTGAGTGTGTGAGGAGCCATGTATGTGAGTATCAGTGTGTGTGTGAGAGAGAGGTAGAGGGATTTCATGCTGTGTTAATTGATTCTTCAACAAATAAACAATTCAAGTTTTCATTGTATCTCATTGTGCCTTTCTGTGTGTTGCATTAACTGAAATCTCATTGTGGTAAGTAGAATCATTGTATGCGTTCTTTGTCCAGAAACACAGAACTCTATTATTTATTCTGTGTCCATGTTAAAGATATGCAAAACCACTTTCATTTCAGACTCTTAAAATGGCAGATCATGTTATATTGTGTGTGGATGTCTCAGATTGCTAACTAAAGGCTATGGTTAAAGTAAGACGTGTCACATTTAGAGTTAAAAGCATTGACTGTATATAAAAGTATTGTTAAAAGTCAGCCATAGTCAGTCAAGTAATACATAATGCATATGATAATGAAAACGTTGTTTAATATATTTTAAATATATTTAAAGAGCCTGTGTTGCTCTTTGTCCAAAAACACAGAAAACGTATACATATTTATTGTGTCCATGTTGAAGATGTGCAAAACAACCTTCAGTGGAGAATTTTTAGATGGCAGATAATGTGGCGTTGGGTTAGGACTTGGTTTAATGTTGAAGCAATTACTTTTAATATTTTAAGGGGTTTGTTAGGGTTAGGGTCAAAGATGCGAAGATTAGGGATGATCTAAAGAATTTCGACCTCTTGTAGAGTAAAATCTGCATTATGGCGTGCGTGTGTCTGTCATGCCCTGACCCCGCCCTCCGATGATAACATCCAATAGGATATCAGCATTGTGATTCGATGGGAGATTGTCAACAACTGGTCGGGGAGGACGGTAAATGTCATCTGCTATTTCGTTAAAGTACCGAGCGTGTTAGAGTATGTTTTGTTTACATATTTAAAGCGTAAGGCTATATTTATTTTAGACCCCAATCATAATTAAGTCTACTAAACAGCTATAGGCGATAAAGTTATGGATACGAGCTAACGTTCGCTACCTTGATGTCTTTCAGTCAGTTTCAGTTGTCAGAAGTTGGCTAGCTTCTACGTAGCTAACGTGAGAGAGGACAGGCTGCTGTGGGTTGTGGCCAACCAGGAAAAAAACATCACGTCTGTCGAGCTGCGTGAGCTGTTGTTTTGGAGGAGAGGAGCTGTTTAAGATAAACAACCATGGATCCGTTTGACAGCAACATTTCAGGTAAGGAATTAACATGTCAGTACAATAACAGCAAGCTAACAGGCCAGCTAATAACTAACGGCACATTAGCATAGAGATCACTGGCAGTGACATTCACCCGAGGACACATGTTGAGTGGGGGGGGACTTGACTTCTGAATAGCTAAACCTTGTGTTTTCTCAGTGATTTCAATGTCACATTGTATGGAGTCTCAGACAGTATCAGTCTGCTAACGCACATAAGTGTAAGGACAAAACGGGATGGGCTGTTGTTGAACCTTGTTGTTATCAAAGTGTGAGTTTATCTAACAGACAAAGCCAATAACACTGTTCTAACATCCTAAACAATGTCTGTCTTTGCAGAAACCTAGTATGCCTATGTTAATGCCCAAGTTGACTGTTAAAACACAACAGCACTGTTTGCCCAGTGAGCCTGTTGGTTTGATGATAGCTGTGTTTTGTGTTGGTGTGGAGAGATAAGTCATGCTCGGCTCAGGCTGCTTTTACAACCTCTCTCTGGTCCCAGAGTGTGCGAGGCTTTATGAAAACAAACACAAATCCCAGTGCACACATGAGCTCCTTTTGAGGGTGTATTTCATTAATGTTGGCCTCAACTTGGAAGCAGTCATAAAATCACAGCGATAACACTTCCTGTTTTTTCTTCCTGTGTGTGCTTGGCTTGGTGTTTTAAGTAAAAACCCAAAGTCACATTTCACAATCACATTTTAATCAGATAATGATGAGAAAAGAGAAGCAGAAAAAACACAATTATAATGACCAACAAACTGATATTGTTGCTCAGTAATCTGCCTCATGCTGGTTGTCTACTCTCTACTTCTAAATGAGTGGACCACCTATCAAACTCAGACATATTCATCTTTATTTCTGTGAGAGGTCAGACTTGCGTAATACAAACCACGAAGGGTTGATAAGTGTTTTGAGGTCAACAGGAAGTGCGCAGTCAGCAGATGAACATGCACTGCTGCTGTATCTACAGAGCTCGAGCAGGCTTTATGGAAGAACAGTAGTTGTTGTAATAGTTATCATTAATAATAAAACATGAGTATAACATCAACTTCTTCTCTTATCTGAGCATGTCATCTTGCTAATATGAAATAACTTTCCTTACAATAACACAGCAATTAGAAGTAGACATGACAATCATTTATGAATCAAGTTATTATCCTCGTCGCACATTACACATTACCACTTAGCTGTTAGCTAATACATAGGCCTTCATACCCCAGCACTGTGGTGCAGACAGGGACACTAGCCCGTACAGTCTTATCAGAAACACGGACAGACAAGAAACTAAATTCCTCTCATGCATTTTCGGCCTCTTGTCTTGTGTTTGGGGAGGCAACGTTCACGTGTTTGGTGAGATTGTTTCTGTAAGAGCCCTGTGAATTCAGTAAGTGTTCAATGTCTCCCTGTGCTTTCCCCTCCAACCCAACGGAGAATGTAAATGCATTATCCTAAGCTTGTTCAACCAAGAATGAAAAGTGAAACAAATAGGAGAACTGCATTGATTAGGGTTTTTTTCTACTTTTGATATTATTCAATTAGGAAGTTGAACATGTCTCCGATTGTTCCAAAAATGTAGGGCAGAAGCCGCCTGCCAGAAAGTCACATGCTTTTTGTAAGACAAGGCATAATACCCGACATGATGCTTTAGACACTAGTTAGTTTGTGGAAATGCAGAACTTAGTGACATGACCAGTTGAATTAATTGTTTGCTTTTTCCTGATATTTTTTAAATATATACTTTGTCAATGTTTTCTTATTTTAGTTAATAAGAAATTCCTCTTTAAACATATTTTGTTAAACCAGTACTTTCTTACCAGCTTGATGCATCCATTTTATGTGCGTCAAATACCAGGAAATGCTGAAGAGGTTTACATACAGGAAACTGAAAAAACCCAGTTAGTGCTTTGTAAAACAAGGCTTCTTGTTGCCTGCATATTGGGTGACAATAACAAGTCTTTGTGTTGAAAAAAGACTTTTTGCCACAACTCTTCTCTGGTTATCAAACTCCAACAATTACACCACATATTTTAACATACAGCACAGTGTGAATGTGTCAATGTATATAAATATTCTACTCTTCCACTTTTCTAATTTCCTCTTTTTCCTTTGTTGCAGATCGAGCTAACCTTCCAAGAAACATGATTGAGAACAGCATGTTCGAAGAAGAGCCTGATGTGGTGGATTTGGCCAAAGACTCCACTGCGTTTCCAGTATGTTCCCGTCATCTCATGCAATGCCTGTCTTCGTTTTAAAGACCAGTCTGGCTCAATCATTTGTAATGCTTATTTGCAACACTCTGCAGTGTTTCTCTCGTTAAATCTGATAATGTGAAAAGATCATGGCAATATAAATTAGAACCAGCTAATTCAAGGTCAGCCACCACTTGTGAGTAACCGTGTTAGAATCCTAATTTGCAAACTTTGAGTTCAGTGTATCTTTCACTGGTCTGAACATAGATCTGTCAGCTGCAATAATCTATACACAGAATTATGAAAATTGCACGAAAAAACGCCATTGTATCATGAAGATCAAGCTGTCGCCTGTTCAGAACTAAAAGGACCTATTTTCCAAATGTACAGTATCGACATACGGTGTCAAAAATCTTTTAGATTAAGTAAGACCTTAAGTGTGTTACTCAGTACCCGACCCCCCCTGTCCTCCCTCAATGTCAGTCACCCAACAAACCCTCTCCTAAATGTGGTTCCCTTTATGTTCATGTTTATTGAATTAATCCTAAAATATAAGGTTTCTATTGCTCTCCATTTTTCCCTGTTCTTTGTTGACAGACACTCTGCATAGAATTCAATTATTAACTATAAATTGGGAACAGTGCACAGCTAAGTTGGAGAATAACAGAGTGTACTGTCCGTGCTCTCGGCAGACATTTCCTGCTCTTGACCCAGATGAGGTGGCGTATGAGCCTCGTAGCTCGCGGCTGCTTGTGCGAGGGCTGGGAGAGAACGACATGGACGAGGATGAGGAGGACTGCGAGTCCTCAGCCCGTCTGCTGGGCATGTCCTTCATGAACCGCAGCTCTGCTAACAGACCCAGCTCTTCACCTTACGCCAGGCAGCCTCCACCAAGGTAATGCTCTAAAAAGTATTTCTGGGAAGCGCATTTGAGATGGTTCAGCTTGTACTGAGCCACTAAAAATATACGAAAGTAATACACATAGTCAAACAGTGTGTTATCTCTGTGGGCTCAATACAAAATGAATGACCTCATCTATCACTAAGATTTACATAGTCATAAAACAAGCAGTGGTGGTTTCGGTGAACCACTTGCTCTAAGATTTGTAGAGAAACAGCAGCTACATTGAAGATCCTGTCGGAAACTAAAAAAGCTAATCAAAATGTAGTAAGATGCCCAAAGACAATGCCAGATAGTACTGTTAATGAATATGATGCAGTGGGTTCGAATATCAGGCTCTTTTACATAAGGAACCTGCAACATAACACACAAGGGAGTGTTTTCTGAGATTGGTGTTCTTCACACACAAAAAGGCAACACACCAATTCGATTTGTATTAAAGACCATTCTTAAAAGTTCAGATTTGTATGGGAAAAGGTTTCAGTCAAGATACCAATGTAAAGCTGTTTGTCACAACACCACCATCCCCAGCTTTTTCATAACCACTACTGCTCAGTTTTAAGTCAAAGTTATATTTGTAAACTTTGTTTGTCTCAGGTCGTGTTCCCGACCCTCAGCCCGCACCACGGTTGTATGTGTGTTATTCCTGGTGATAGTGGCCTCTATGACCATGGTACTGTACTTCTTACCTGGATGCACCTTTACCAAGGTAAGACGAATATTCACTAGTTCTATTTGTGAAGGTAAACTTCTGTTGTTGCAATGTTGAGGTAGAATGAAGGAGTCTGGAACCGTTGTTAGCCAAAAGCACCGAGAGTTTATTGATCACAGTACATTAATTACATACGGCCGGGGAGATCACTTAGTTGCACACCGTCCCGTGTTTCACCAGCGATCTCTCAACCAAAAGACCCAAAACATCTAACCAACACGAGGAGAGGCGGGCTTCCAGAAAGCCCGCGTATAATCAATAGCCGATGCAAGACAATGATCGGCTTGTCTCAAAGAGATGCTGCCAGGTCAACCCTCGGACATAGGAGAAGCGTTTGACCTGTGACCTCAACCTACAGAGGGGTCTTTGAGTGACTACAAGCAGATGTTTGCAGTATCACAGACTCTAAGGAACCATAAAAGACTCTATAAACAGATCAGATGAAAATATTCTCTTACACTATTCAGGTAGATTTTCTTTATCATGCTTCGATTACTAAACAGGACTCGCTTAACACATTATGTTGATATCTCTGTCATATAATTTCCCTTTTTAGTTCTCTGTCATAACCTTTGTTTGCTGACCCTTCATTCTTCTGCAGACGGGTTGTCGAAAGGCCAACCAGACCACCCCCTTAGTGCCAGTCAACCCCACGTCTTCGAGTGGCGAACCGTTTCCATGGAACAGCTACCGGCTGCCTCAGAGCGTACATCCTCTGAGCTATGAGGTCACCCTGAACCCTAACCTTGAGGACATGACCTTCACCGGCTACACCGTCATCAACATGTCTGTGCAGCACAACACCAAGCGCATCGTCCTGCACAGCGCCAAACTCAACATCACCGGAGCTACCTTCAAGGTGGGTTAGAAAGGGTATTAGTGGGGTCATGGAAAGTGCTTTAGTTTATATATTTGTATGCCAGAATTTAAGTTAGTTTTTTATTTTCGTCAATCTTTGTTTTGCTGTGCTGTGTAAAATATAACAAGAGAGCACATCATTTTCCATCATTGTAATAAAGCACAATTGGGGAGTGTTCACGCATTAATTCCTTTAACTCTTGTTTAATTGCAGTCTGTGAGTCTGGTCATTCTCATAATGAAACCTTCTCAGTGTGGATCCATGCATCATATATTTTATTTAGGTGTAATAACCCTAATTAACAAGTTCAGGTGATTTTCAGTCTAAATAGATGTACAAAAATTAAGATTTCGATTGTTCCTGAACTAAATAATTGTTTTAAACGATGTGATGTTGTCTGCTAGTTGTTAACTCATACGTCCTCTCTTCCAGCTGGGTGAAGGGGTCTCCAAAGCTGTGACTGTCCTGGAATACCTCCCCAGGCAGCAGATAGCTGTTCAGTTCTCTGAGGATCTGAAGGCAGGCCAGTCCTGTGTTTTGACCCTGGAGTACTCTGCAAAACTCTCACACTCCTACGATGGTTTCTACAACAGCTCATACACCGATAAAGATGGAAACAAAAGGTACAGTTGCTCGTTGTGTACGCTTTTCAAAACAGCTGGAAGATGTTCTGCAGAGGATTTGATCAAAAGCCTCATCATCAGACCTTATGACAGATACTACTAAAAAAAAAAACGTTGCTGTTAAAAATATTATTTACAAATGTGTTTTGACTGTGCTCATCCCCCTCTTGTCACCAGGGTCTTAGCAGCAACCCAGTTTGAGCCACTGTCAGCGAGGAAAGCCTTTCCGTGCTTTGATGAACCAGCTTTCAAAGCCACCTTCCTTATCAAAATCAGCAGAAAAACAGACTTCATGACTCTTTCCAACATGCCTTTGGTACCGTAACATTTACTAAGTCCTGGTTAATTGCTACTGTACGGCAACTCGTGTTCAAACACCTCACATACATGTGCTGTTCTAACTTAATGCACAAATAATGAAAGATTTTCAATTGGTGAGCTACAAACGGGCTTGACCAGTGTTCTGTTACTAGGTTAGCACAGATGTTTACTGACATGGCTTAGTGTGATGCCAGTGGTTACTAGCATTAGGACGGCAGTATATACCAACTCAAATAAAATTAGGCATGTTCCCTAGAGACAATTTTGTGGTTTATGACCTGAAAACAGCGTTGTCTTTGTCAGTGTGCACAGCCTCATTCTCTGCCTCCAAACTGCAGCTGACAAATAATGTCACGTTTGTAACAAAGACACAATTTACATTTCAGCCCTATAGAATTTTCCTTTGACTTGTAAGCTCTTAGGGTGGGTACAAATAAGCAGCCATGTCTCATGTATTGATATGGTACTTGCAAAATCTTGTTTTATAGTTGGTCCTAATCTTGAACTAATGCTTTGTGTTTCAGGCTAAAAGCACACCACTTGTCAATGGCCTCGTGCAAGATGAGTTTGAAAAGACCAGTGTCAACATGAGCACCTACCTGGTGGCCTTCATCGTTGCTAACTTCACCTCCATGACTAAAAATGTCTCAAACACGCTGGTAGGTCTGATAAAAGTGTGGCTCCTTCATTTGTATTCTTTAAGTATTCAGTGAGCTTCTGTGTTTTGCTGCTAAGTGTCTTCATATGTAGATGTTTATCTGTGTGTTTAGGTGTCTGTGTACTCTGTGCCAGAGAAGAAGGAGCATACTGACTATGCTCTGGAAACATGCTCCAAGCTGCTGGAGTTCTACAACGACTTCTTTGAAATTAACTACCCACTTAAAAAACTAGGTGAGTACACACAGGTAGTTTCACAAAAGGTTTACACACACCATTTCCTTGACTTAAATGACCTCTTCACACACCTAAATATTTCCTGTTTCAGACTTGGTAGCCATCCCTGTCTTCCTGGCAGGAGCCATGGAGAACTGGGGCCTGATCACTTTCAGAGAGACCAGCCTGCTGGTGGGACAGAATTCCTCTCCTCTGGAAAAACAAGTCGTTGCCTCTGTGGTAGCGCATGAGCTTGCCCATCAGGTATTTACTTTTATGTCTGTAAAAAGAAGCAGATGCAGTGCAGTATGCTACAGTCAGGTCCTCATGTTTTTCTGATGTTGCATATTTAGTGGTTTGGAAACTTGGTGACGATGAGCTGGTGGAATGACCTGTGGCTCAACGAAGGCTTTGCCACCTACATGCAGTACATGTCGCTGCAGGCCGTGATGCCCAAGCTGGACATCGTAGGTTCACACACCTGCCTCAGAAATATTAAAGCGGCGTGCTTCATTGTCTGCCTTCCAGTAAACTGTTTGTTTGCAGGGTAATTTGTTCCTGGCAGTCCGCTTCAGAGCCTTGGACAAAGACGCGCTGAACTCCTCCCACGCTGTGTCCACCAAGGTTAACAAGCCGGAGCAGGTGGAGGAGATGTTTGACTTCGTGTCCTATGAGAAGGTACGCTTTTTACTCTGATACATTTTCATAAATCTCATAAAACTCCAAATCAAGATTAGTTTTTTTATTGGTTGATTTATTTATGGATCATAGGACAAAGAAACAATAATAAAGTGCAGCATGGAAAAGTGAAAACACTTTTTTACAACACAGTGCCAAAATGATAGAATTGAAAGAAAATACAATGAAACACATGATTAACAACAGAAAAAAGTAAAACTATCCTTAAACAAAAGACACATCAACATGTAAATACAAAATTACTCCCACTCCAAAAAACAAGAATAGCTCAATAAGAATATCATTGCAAATTCCACAAAAAAATCAGTTCCCATTTTCAATGAAAAGCCCTTATCTGACTTCTCTAAACCACTCTCATATTTAAAGGCTTGATGTGTAAAGGCTGTTACAAACAGTCCTGGTTTTGTATTCGGCTTGTGCTCAGTATGGATGATTGTTTACCCGAGAGAGAAATGTCTCTACTGGATCTTATGAGTCATAACTGTCTTAGTGCTGCTCTGGCTGTGATCACAGATGCTTTGTGACTCTGTCTTCCAGGGTGCGTCCATCCTCCTGATGCTGAACGCCTCGCTGCCAGGGGAACAACAGTTCAGAAAGGGTATCATTGAATACCTGAAGCAGTTCAGTGGATCAAACACCGTCACCAACGACCTCTGGAACAGCCTTACACGGGTGTGTGTGTGTGCCTTTTTAGTTTTTTCTTGGTGCTATAGTCAGCACATATATCACTTTAACTACATTTAACATTTTACCTCCCTCTGTCAGCCAGCCTGAATTATGCTCTCTTTAGCTAGTTTCACTTTTATTACAAAATGTGTAATCCCAGAGAACTGCCCAGGAGCGGCATCATTAACATAATTACTTTCTGTGTATCCGTTTATATTGCCTTTGGGTTTGGATTATAAAAATGGAAATTGTCACATCAAATCTTCAGAAAAACAGCTGCAAAGTTTCAGATCACACAATCCTCTTCAAGTTTTGAGAAATAAATCAGTGAACACAGCATTGTACTGCACAGACTCTAGATTTATTTTCCTGTATGCAGGTGGAGGTCTCGGCTCAGCACCAGAATGTGTCGGAGATGATGAGCTCATGGACGTCACAGAAAGGCTTCCCATTGGTCACCGTAAGCCGTGAGGGAGATGAAGTGACCCTCACACAGGAGCACTTCCTGCTCACCTCTGATGAGGCCATCTATACGTCCAGGTGCGTTACGTTACCACACACACAGATGATCATAGAAACCCATCACAACACTAACTGTATTTTGCTCTCTTCTTAGCTTATGGAATATTCCAGTGACATACGTGACTGACAACTGCAGTTTGGCCCCTGAGTGCAGACAGGTGTTCAATCTGAAGACCAAGTCAGGTAAAACAAAGTCGCAACCAGCACCATCAAGTCAGGGTTCAAGAATCTCACGTGCTGTGTCAAATGGTGCATGTTTGTGTGTGTTTTCAGGGACTCTAAAGCTAGCAGAAAGTGTGAAGTGGCTGAAGCTGAACTACAGAAACACCGGCTTCTACATCGTCCACTACGGAGACGAGGGCTGGGCCACTCTTATCGAAGCTTTGAACAGCGACTTCAGTGTCTTTACACAAGAGGACCGTGCCTCGCTCATACACAACATCTTTGCTCTCTCCAGGTATAGATGACATCATAAAAAGTTTTAGTGACGACAAGAAAATTGAGTAGAGGAGTTATCTAAAATAACTGTATTTGTTTCTTTTAAATATGTTATTATCCATCTTTCTTTCCTTTATCTTTCTGTTTCATTGACAGACTGGGACGTGTGTCCTTCCGCCAAGTCCTCAACCTGTTGCACTACGTGTCCAATGAAACTGAGACATCTCCTGTGACAGAGGCCTTGTTACAGCTCAATGTCATCTACCGGCAGCTCGACAAAAGACAAGCGCACAGTGTTGTGGCCCGCATGAAGGTACACACACACACACACACACACACACACACACACACACACACACACACACACTCTCACTCTCACTCTCACTCTAACTCGCACACACACTCTAACTCGCACACACACTCTAACTCGCACACACACTCTAACTCACACACACACTCGTACTCACACTCTAACTCGCACACACACTCTAACTCACACACACACTCGCACTCTAACTCACACTCGCACTCTAACTCACACACACACTCTAACTCACACTCGCACACACACTCTAACTCACACACACACTCTAACTCACACACACACTCTAACTCACACACACTCTAACTCACACACACACTCACACTCTAACTCACACTCGCACACACACTCTAACTCGCACACACACTCACACTCGCACACACTCGCACTCACACCTCTCACTCACACACACACTAACTCACACACACACTCACACTCGCACACACTCTAATTCGCACTCGCACACACACTCACTCTAACTCACACACACACTCACTCACACTCTAACTCACACACACACTCTAACTCACACACACACTCACTCACACTCTAACTCACACACACACTCACACTCTAACTCGCACTCACACACACACAGACACGCACAAACTCACAACACAGGTTCAGAGATGAAAGTCACATTTTGGGAATAAAAGGTTGACGGACATTGAATTTTGATATAAAATGAGGAGTTATATGAAGTTAACGTATAGGCAGTTAAGTTCAAGCAGCAAATACTGTCTTATACCAAAACATTAGACTTTTGAGGTCTTGAGTTTATGTACACCATCTTAAACTTTACTCAAGCCTTTCCATTTAAAGCTCAAGTAATTACAGATCACTGACTCAAACCTTATTGACATGTATTATTTATATTTACATTGTGTACACTATTAGAAATACATCTATGAGTGTGAATCTTAAAAGCCCAAATTCACACTAGTACTCAATGAAGTTAAACATGAATTACACAATCTCAACAGTCTCTCATTAAAACACATTTTCATATCTGTATTGTCTTTATTTAAGAAGTGAAGATGTTGGTGGGTTTTAGTTTCAAGCTATTGTTGTGTCCGGACACTCTTGTGAACTGAGTACAGTGTTTCTGTTTACTAATGCATTCATGATTATTTTATTTCTCCATATGACAGATTTATGTCCTGCATCAGTTTCGTTCTCTGATGGACAACCAGACGTGGGCAGAGGAGGAGAGTGTTTCTAAGCAGGAGCTGCGTGCGGCCCTGCTGGGGACGGCCTGCAGTCTGGGGGAGGAGAACTGCTTAAAGCAAGCCAAAGACCTGTTCAAACAATACCTCCAGTCCAATGAGTCCATAAAGTACGTCTGACACCATTTATCTTGTTCCTTTCTCCGTCACATTGACAGAAACAACAGGTTCAGCCCTAACATATTTTCAGAGATAGCATGTCTAGCATAAAGAAGAAATGTGTCTTGATTTAGTTCGTATCTTATATTTTATTTGTAGGCAATAAAGTACATTTTGGTGCAATTTTAACCTTAAAAATGTTTAATATTTTCGGTAGGATCCCAGGCGATCTGCAGCAGGTTGTATTCACTGTGGCCGGACAGTCAGATGAAGATTGGGAGAACTTGTTTGACCTGTACGCACATGCCACCTATGATGCAGAGAAGAGATCCATGCTACGAGGCCTAGCATCCACTCAGGACGCACGGCGTATCGTGTGGTAAGTGTGTGTTTTCTCATGGCCAGGATCGAGAGGGAATATTTTTAAAGCAATCGACTCAATTTAATTAATTATTTATTTGAACATGCCTTAAACCTATGCGTAAGAGGGCACCAGTGTGTTTTTGGTTCATAGCAATGCACTCTTAGTTCAGTACAAATCCACTCTGAGGCTTAGTTCTACTAACCCACCCTTATAACAATTACTTGACAAATTACACTTTTAAATTATGCAATAAAACACCCCAAACCAGATGCCAATAGTGAGTTTTCTCATCTTGGGGTCTGTGATTATTACAGTTAAGAATCTCCGATACAAAAACACTAATATTTGAGAATAAAACTTTTTTCTTCGTTTTTCTTTTCTTCTTCTCTTAATGTGTTTGTTCTTAAACAGGTTTGTAGTATAACTAAAAATAATATTGATTTGACCTACATTGTATTCTGCTGTATAGAAATGTGTGTATTGTGAGTGTTGTTTATTCTCTGAACAGCCTTTAAACACGTGTTTCGGTCTGTAGGATTCTGAAGGCCGGCCTGCAGGGGAACATCATCCAGACTCAGGAGCTGCCTCTGGTCATCAGCACGGTGTGTAACGGCTTCGCTGGCTACCTGTTCGTCTGGGACTTCATTCAGGAGAACTGGGACCGCCTCATCGAGAAGTGAGTGGTCCCTTTCAGCTTCATACAGGTTATACTGAGAATACGTTCTGATTTCACATGTGAATGATAAGGTGAAATAACATGAGTGTTTGTGTGTCTGGCTGTAGGTTTCCTCTGGGCTCCTTCGCCATCCAGTCAATCGTCAACTCCGTCACCTCTCAGTTCTCCACACAGGCACACCTTGATCAGGTACGCTATTTTATATTTGTATGTTTTTGAGGCCTGTCTCAAGAACTACGGTGTTGGAAAAAAATGGCCCAGAAGTAATTACTATAAACTAAATAATTGTCATGTTAAAACAATTGTATGCCTCTGATGTAATGATAATATCATAAAAAGGCAAGTGCACCCTCTAAAAGAACAATGAACTTTTAATTTATAATAATATATAGACATTATATTCAAAACTGTAAATAAAATGTACTTTCGTGCACTGTTCACAAAAAAAGCACAACATATATGAATCATTTGGCACAGTTAGATTAGTGTAGATACACTTTATTTATGCCAAATTGGGATGTTTTTTTGTGACAGCAGCATGTCAACAGGTATTACACATGAGTTAAATATGAAGAAAAAAAATATCCCTACATGCAATCTATTTTCTCATGGGTTTTGACCGTTGTTATCAAAAAGTGCAAAGTAAAACCGTGTGTGTGTTCTGTAGGTCCAGAGTTTCTTCTCCAGTCTGAAGGAGCGTGGCTATCAGATGAGGAGCATGCAGGAAGCTCTGGAAACCATCAGGCTGAACCGGCACTGGATGGATACAAACCTGTCCACGCTCCAAAAATGGCTCTAATAACGATCGCCATCCAGGCTCCGCCCCGCTGACATGCAACATGTCGTCGGGGCAACAGCAATGTTTGCACTATTGTAGGACTCTGTCTCTTAACTCTCTTTATCCAGGCCAGAGTTTCAAAGCCAGAGGTTTTGCTCTACCTGGGTGGACAAGGTGTTCTTTTTGAGACTGGTCCGGTGAGATGTATTTTTGCTCAGGGTGGCTCTGATTGTGCGTCTGACAGGAAGTTGTCGGATGCTGAACACACTCCTCACACTTGATGCTGTCGACCAAACCTCTCCTCCGTGGGTTTCATCTTAACCTCCCGCCCGAGCAGACAATCGTGCTTCGCCCACACTCCTCCGTCAGCCTGCTCTAAGGATCCTAACTCTGTGAGCTGTGATAGGCCACTGGAAAAAGAGGACGAATGAAGAATGTCAACATTACTGTTTCTAGTAAAGTAAGCGAATTTGAGAAGCGCTATATAAATTCAATTTATTATTATTATTATGTGCTGTCAGTCAGTCCTTATCGTCGGATATATGTTGATGCAGCTGTCAGGGATTCCTAGGCGATGAGACGTTAAAATCACCGGTACTTTTTAGAGGAGTTATTCTTAGACTTAGACTAACCTTGTGTCGCCATGTTACAAAATAGCTGCTTGTCATTCTGACCTCTAGTTACTGATGAGCGTTTTAGTCAGGATTGATCTTGACGATTAGTTGATTGAGTCAAATACCAAACTTGTGTTGGCATCGATTGAATGTACTGAAAACCTACCCACTGTGTCCAGCAGAGGGCGTACTGCGCACGTTTAAATCAACAACCTGTCTTAGGTTAGAGCAGGCAGTGGAGCCAAATGTTTCTTTCTTTCTTCCTCTACCATCATAAGCCCAGTTTTCCTCATCAACAAGCTTTATTTTGCCTGCAGTGCGGTGATCGGACAGACTCAGATTTAACAGTGTGTTTTTAAACTTGTATTCTAAATGTAAATACGCTCAACCCTACAGAGTTTTAACCTGTGACTTTACTGTTTCGATCATCTTGACTTTTAACATTTTAGGGATTTGCTTTTGTGTTGTTTGTGTATATGGAGTGTAAAGAGAAGGAAGCAAGAGTCAAATACTTTTTCTGGATTGAGACCATCCGAGCAGAGCAGTTTGCTGCTGAATGTTTGTGTTTTAAGGGCTAATGTGCACATTGAAGACACCGAGGGTATAGCAGAACATTTATTTTGGAAATTACTGCTGTGTCCAGTAAGCTGTTCATTAGCCAAATGAAAATACAGAAGGTTTAAAGTTATATATGTTAACCAGTCATGTTGCTCCTATCAAAGAGGAGCCTAGCTATTTATTGAGAGTGTCTTAACATGTTTCCCTTACTTTTGTTCTAAGCTAATACAGTTGATTACTTACACTGAGCTATATTTAAAGTGGCATTGCTTTTACTCCATCCACTCCATCACTGTCATTACATATTTAGGATAATTGAGTAAATAAAGTAGATTAAATCCTTTCCTTTGAACATCCCTAACATCCCCATGAGATAACATCTCTGTTTTTTGGTTGTCATGCTATCTCATTGTTTCATTTATTTAAAAAATGTATTAAACACCAACATTGGTCCAATCCCCACCAGTGTTACCTCAGCGCTGTGTACACTAAGAGACGCCATGTTACTCGAAAACATGGCCGTACACCCTGCCCAAAGAATTGTGCATTCAAAACTAGACAAAGGTACTGTAGGCGTTTTTCACAGTATTGCCATTGACTTGTTCCACTCTGTCATAGTGTGTTAATATATGGAAGTTAGGAATATGCCTTTTTTATATACATGTTTTATGCTTTTATTTCCTGGATTATTATGGTGACACTTTTTGTTTCTCCAGCTGCCAGCAATCAGATGAATGAATCAGCTTTACTGAGGCTCTGGGATTTTTATGTTCCATCATGTTTTGTTTAGAGAACAACTGTTTCATGTGAAGTCATAAGCTTTAAGAGTTGCTGAAGTCGTGCAGGTACGAGGTTTAGATGTGGCCGGTCTGATGGGAGGATGTAGGAAGGTCAGTAACTGTATCGGAGCGTCTTTGTTTTTTGCACTGGGATAAAATGCTGCAGATGCTTTTGTGACTGTGTTGCTCTTCATGTTAATAAAAAAAAAAAATGTTAGTTGTTTCCTCAAAATGTTGGCTTTATTTGTATTTTCCATGTCTTAACAACTTAACAATACGTGACACTGCATGCTGCTGCGCTTGAAGAAATAAATAAGAACTTTTTGAAAACGGCTCTGCTGGAACTGCTACCCCCGCGACCCGACCACGGATAAGCGGGAGAAGATGGATGGATGGACTATGAAATAAGTGAAAAAGCATCGGGGAATGCAAGAAGGTTCTTTAGATTAAGCTGCAAAAGACATGCTACCTGAAAGCTACATCCTTAACCATCACAAAATCTACTCTAAAGAAAAACAACAACCTTAAAAAGGCCTACAATTATTTATTTGTATTGAATATTGACCTGGGGCCTCATTTATAACGCCGTGCGTAGGATTCACGTGGGAAGGTTGCTTACGTAGTAGAAATCCAAAAAATAGGTACAGAAATCTTCCGACATTTTCCGATTCACCAAACATTGCGTACCGGCGAGGAAAGTGCGTACAGCACTTCCTACGCCGGTTTCCCTTTATAAATCACAATCGACTCGAAATGCGGTGCAGCTTTTGCGGGCTTCACGTAACGCCCATATTTGCCTATAAATAGTCAAAGAAACGCCCATTCATTCATTCATTTTGACTGACTTTATGAAGAAGATAGCAGGAAATGACGACAGAACAGCTCAAAAATACATCTCACACCGTGTCAGATTTTGGTTATTTTGTGGAGGTCGAGATAAATCATATTGTTTGGTGGATGCAGTTTGAACCAGAGTAGCAGCATGGAGGTCGGATCGTCACCAAAATAAATAAATAAGTGGTCCGAAAAAGGTTAATGACAAAAACAATACACATGGCCTTCCTCAGGCAGTGTGTTTGTACCGGGGACAGGAGACCCCCCCTTGATGAGAAACTGTAAGAAATGATCGGGGAATCCCTCCGGAGTGGAGTCATGACGACTGGATCTGAATTATGTTTTTGTATTTGGTGGTTTGTGTCCCAGCTGTCGATCAGCTTTGCGCAGCGTCTCCACTGCAGCAACTCTATATCCACCAGTTAAAGGAAATACAACTAATGTGTTGTGTTATATTAGCTGTACAATTTACCACATATGGTGTTCTTAGCTTCCATACCTCCTGTGTTTTACGAGCGACTTATCAAGTCTTGGCAAACGGCATAAAACACGATTAAACGTGATGGTATATAAAACCATGCTCGTATCTAACCTATCGACAGTCAGTTTAGACGTAATTCTGTCCTGCTTACCGCATCATTTATGAGAAAACATTTCATAACATTAACACAACATATTCGAGGTGGTTTTAAATAACATATCCGTATTTATTTATTTCTCCAAGTTATGTTCTTGTGTGCACTTAGGAGTCTCAAACAGGCGTTTGTTTAATCATTTTAAGATTGGCTTTAATCAATGTTTGAAAATGAGTTCTTCATATATGATAAATGAGAGGTAACATTTTGTTTATGGTATTATTTCCACATATTTCTCTCCATTCTTCCAACGCGGTGTCGCAGTTTCTCGTCTCTCCCGGTGTTGTGCTTAGTGCTACGCATGGGTTAGAGTTTGCCTGGAGGACCGCACATTTTCCCGTCAAGTTAGTATTTTATAAATCGCAAACATTGCGTAGAAACTGGCATACGCAATTTTTTGAGCGTGTATCCCTTTATAAATGAGGCCCCTGATCACTATTTCCCCTCATCCAGTTTCACTAAGCTTTGTCACGTTTGAGAACAGAAATTCATTTTAGTTCATTGTTGCTTCTATTCTATTTATTGTAAATACTAAGCTGCATGCTTAAATCACCACCACTCTGCAGTGATTTACAGGCCATGCTGTTTCTCAGTTTCCCCACCAGAGGTCTATCTAGCACTTCTGAAAACTTGCACCCTGGCTCTCACTCATGTTTTTCATCATTTGGATTTACTCTAGCTTAAAAGTGGATGTATTTGTTGGAATTATCTTTTAAAAGGACTCAATGTAATGTCATATCAGCATATATTCAGTGTGTGTTTAAGGAAATCAGTTTTGTGCCCTGCATACTTGTTTTGGAAGGATGCCCCACAACTGGAAGACATCATGGCGCCAGCGTTTTTACCGCTCGTACTTTTGTTTCGGGATGATTAAGTCAAGTGCACAAGGTATACAAACAATTAAGGGTTTATATTGAAATAAAATAAGTCCAATCCCTCATATATTTTCTTTACCCTCAAAGGTGGCCATAAACTCAATTGTGTTGTTTTTTTGTCAATGTTCCCAAAATGATTTTCATTCAATTAAAAGCACATTGTAGCTAAGCATGATGAGACACTTCTGAGACCCACTAACATTATTTATGTGATATTTATTAAATGTAGCTTTGTGTAACACACCAGAATCAGATATATCATACACTTACCATGCAGTAGATGGTTTTTATAGAGGTGTTGGGCTTTCATAATATTGTTGCTTATGCAGCAGAACAGCGTAATTTTTTAAACATCAACCACACCTCCCATGTTTGCAAGCCGTGTGAGGTGTCTTAATGTTGGTGTATATAGTTTAAATAGCGTTAAAAAGCTTTCAAATGACTGTGCATTGTATTTTTGAGCTCATTGTTAGTTTTTCGAAAGAAGCAACTGTGAATGTGTTACAAATATCATACAGTATGTTAGAAAAAATATCACTCGACACCAGGTTGAGAATCAATGATCAGGGGCCTCATTTATAAAAGGGATATACGATCAAAAAATGGCGTACGCCAGTTTCTACGCAATGTTTGCGATTTATAAAATACTAACTTGACGGGAAAACGTGCGGTCCTCAACGCAAACTCTAACCCATGCGTACGCACTAAGCACAAAAACGGGAGAGACGAGAAACTGCGACACCGTTGGCAGAAGGAAGAATGGAGAGAAATATGTGGAAATAATACCATAAACAAAATGTTACCTCTCATTTATCATATATGAAGAACTCATTTTCAAACATTGATTAAAGACAATCTTAAAATGATTAAACAAACGCCTGTTTGAGACTCCTCAGTGCACACAAGAACATAACTTGGAGAAATAAATAAATACGGATATGTTATTTAAAACCACCTCGAATATGTTGTGTTAATGTTATGAAATGTTTTCTCATAAATGATGCGGTTTTGCATTTCTATAGGTTGTACGAGGATGGTTTTATACACTACTGTAGTGCCGTGAAAAGAGAGTCGGAGGCGGTGTATTAAGAATGGAGTTCCAATCTTTATTATCCATTACTTTCAGAGAGGTTAACACATGCACTGCTCTGCCTGATGAGCTAGCAGGAATGGCAGCTAAAGCTACAGGTGTTCCCCACTAAAGGGTCCGTGTGGCAACACAATAAGCAAGGTGAATTATGGTGTCACATGGTGTCACCACACAAGCCCCCCCAGAATTCACACAAACAAAATCAGCATGGCGGGGAGGAACGACACGCCGACCCCCACGACTCCTGAGCACGGGAGTCGGAAAAGTGACTTCCGCCTGTGCGGCTCCCGGAAGGGGAGGGACCGGAACAACAGGTCTTAAATCCGTGACAGGGGACGAGGCCGGGGGGCGGCCGCGTCGCGGAGGTCGAGCCAGCACCACAGGCTGGTCCAAGTCCAGGTGAGCAGCCTTCACCCGGTCCACCGAGACGTGCTCGGCCTTGCCACCCAGGTCGACCACCAGGTGCTTGTCCCCGTGCTCCAAGACCCAGAAAGGCCCATCATAAGGGGGCTGCAGGGGGCCTCTGTGCGCATCGTGCCGGATGAACACGTGCTCCGCCGAGCGGAGCTCTGCGGGAACCTGGGAGACCTGAGTAACGTGCTGAGTAGTAGGGATCGGAGCAAAGGCCTCAGCGGCGTACTGCAGGAAAGCCCGTTGGGCCGACGCCGACCAGGGAGCCGATGCGTTAGGGAGGAAATCCCCTGGAACTCTCAACGGCTGCCTGTAGACCATCTCAGCCGTAGAGCACTGCAGTTCTTCTTTAGGCGCAGTCCTTAGGCCCAGCATCACCCAGGGCAGCTTGTCGACCCAATTCCCGTCCTTAAGGCCGGCTTTGAGGGCTGCCTTCATGGAGCGATGGAAGCGATGGACCGCGTAGTCCGACGCGTCCGTGGTGATGGAGATGGTAGCCGTAGATGATGGGTGTGCCAGCAAAGCCGCCTGAGCCAACGTGGTCTTGACCTCAGCAAAAGCGAAGTCCGCCTCTGCCGTCCAGTCGATCGCCTGGACGGGGGTCTTGCCCTTCAATGCTTCATACAGCGGCCGCATGATGTGTGCGGACCGGGCGATGAAACGGTGGTAGAAGGTCACCATCCCCAGAAACTCACGGAGCGACCGGGCTGTGAGCGGGCGAGGAAAAGCCGCAACAGCCTCCGCCTTTGCCGGCAGAGGTGCCGCACCGCCCTTGGTGACGCGGTGCCCCAGGAAATCAATGTCAGACACCCCGAACTGGCACTTTGCAGGATTGATGATTAATCCGTGTTCGTTGAGCCGCGTGAAAAGGGCTCGGAGGTGGGACAGGTGCTCCTGCACTGAAGCGCTGGCGACGAGTATGTCGTCGAGGTAGACAAACACAAATGGCAGGTCCCGCAGCACCGAATCCATCAGGCACTGGAACGTCTGAGCAGCATTCTTGAGTCCAAAAGGCATCCGCAGGAACTCAAAAAGTCCAAAAGGCGTTATCACTGCTGTCTTGGGAATGTCCAGAGGGTGCATGGGCACCTGGTGGTATCCACGCACCAGGTCCACCTTGGAAAACACCCCCGTACCGGCCAGATGCGCCGAAAAGTCCTGAATGTGCGGCACCGGATAGCGGTCAGGCGTAGTGGCGTCGTTGAGTCGGCGGTAATCCCCGCACGGGCGGAACCCGCCATTCGGTTTGGGGACGACGTGCAGGGGAGAAGCCCAAGGACTGTCGGAGCGGCGGACAATGCCCAGGCGCTCCATGGTTGCGAACTCCGCCCTCGCTACAGCCAGCCGCCGGGCCCTGGCGTAGACAGGAGGCCCCTCGGTAGTGACG